CTGTATGACTTTGATCGTTATTTACATAGACATTCCTAATCTTATGTAAATACTCAATCACATCTCTGTATGACTTTGATCGTTATTTCCATAGACATTCCTAATCTTATGTAAATACTCAATCACATCTCTGTATGACTTTGATCGTTATTTACATAGACATTCATAATCTTATTTCACATAACATATTTCACATTTTTTTTATATTTATTCACTTTTTGGTCGTTTTTTTCTGTTCAGCTATAAATATCTAATCTGTCAAATCACGCGGATTGATATGCACGTGCATAAGCAACCACTATCGATTTCCTAATTTAAGTACATTGTTAGATTTTCGAATGTTGATTTAAATACAATAACTTTTTTATCGTTAAAACTGTGTACTTGAAAATGATCGCATCAGTGATCGAAACGTCGTTCCTGTTCTAAAAAATAACATTCCATATTGTAAAATCTGTAACTTGTTATAAAATAATACTTAATTTGTAAGTAAACTCAAAACGATACTCGAAATACAAAATGTTTTGTATTTAAGCTGATAATGATAAAGAAAACGGTATGAATCAAATATTAAGGATTTAATTATAAAGATTAACTTGACTGTTAAGCGTCAAACTTCTTATCGTTCTGACCACATATGTGATGACTAATATATATTTGTTTACATTTCTGTCATCCTCACGCAACCCAATTCACTTTAGACATGTAGAAATACAATGCACTGATAAAAGACGTAGAATAAAACATATTAATAGAATGTTAAAATATAACCAGAGGTGTAAAAGACAAATATATAGTGGGTGTGAGGGGATTTCAGCCCCCGGTTTATTTGACTAAGCAAAGCGAGGGAATGTGCAAGGTCCAGAGCTCACCTTAGGTCCCTAGAAGCTTCTCTTAGATTCTGGGTTAAAGTTTCTCCTGCATTTCCTGAGAGTGATCTTCCCAATTTTGATGCATTTTTACCGAGACAGGTTGAATGTGATGGTCAGGTATACTTGTTTTTTAATGTATAAATGTTTATATATTTATTCTTATGGTTGCCAGCTCATGTGTATATGTTATGTGAAAAGCTGATGATTTGAAGACTTGGTTCTGCAACCTTATTTACATGGTCTTAATGATTTCGTTAAGTGAGGCTCAAATAATCGCTTAGTGTACATTTCAATCTTGTTATTTTAACAAATTCCTTATATAAACAGTGTTCCAACTATATACGTTTACTGTATCCTAACGGTCCTCATAAGCTCTGGTATTGAGCGAAACGCGTTGTCGGTGTGGTTGAAATATTATTAGACATTCTTCTGCTTGAAAAATAAATAACTCCTAAGGGACTGAATAAAGAATGTAGTGTTTAAAAAAACAAAATACAATAAACCTAATACTGTAGTCTTATGGCAAATACAAGTTGACCTGTACATGGCTGCTGTATCTGAGTGTAAGTTAACTTTTGATACTTAGCCCAATGTCTGCAAAAACAATGACACGTTGAGCAAAGTCTAAGAATAGAAACAGCAAATATATATATATATATATACTTCTTTTAATGAAAAGAAATTTTAAACCTGTTAGAAAAATCTGCTTACACATTGTTGGCTAGATCTTTCGTTGGAACACCTAAATATAGGTGTGGTAGAAAAACCTCGTTGTGTTCGAGGTCTATTTTAGACAGCAAGAATAAGCTCTATGATGCAATTTGATGTAGGATTTTACAGAAGTATTTTAGTAGATATTTCATTCTCCGTTAGAAAGAATTATCTAAAGTATTGCTTGACAAATGTGCGACAAACCACTAGACCCATTGTCACTAAGCCTGGCATGCACCCCTCAGGACCAACCGGAGAGTAATAAGGGGATCTAACCCCCGTATGTTACTTCTATCTAAACCTGGCCGCACCCTCAGGACCAACCGGAGAGTAATAAAGGGATCTAACCCCCGTATGTTACTTCTATCTAAACCTGGCGCGCACCCTCAGGACCAACCGGAGAGTGATAAGGGGATCTAACCCCTGCATGTTACTTCTATTGGCCCATATATTTTCCTCGTGCGTTAAAAGTGTAAAATGGTACGTCAGCTAGAATACTAATAACATATAATGGTATTGTGATTGGAGCTTTGTAGAGTTGTTTCAAATAACTAAGTTTAAAATTAAGTTTGCATTTATGAAGTGAATTGAAAATTTTAGTGCTTAGTGCTATTTCATGGAATCTGGGCAATTATAGAGTTAAACGTAACGAAAAAAAAGTAGGATATTATTTATAGAGACGAGCATGATATATGCGAAAAAATAAATGATATACGTGGGCCGCAAATGGACAATGAGGGAGTTTATCCCTCAATTTTCAGATGTTGCTTTCATAGTTTTTCATTCTTATAATAAGCTGGCTCAACTTTATTAATTATTAAAGCACGGATTTTGCTTTAATTCATAAGTTTATTCCCTTGTTTAATCGATGAAGATGTTTTAAAGCAATGCATATTCCGAAATCCTCAAATTCTGATAAAAGCCAGTAGATAGAGACAATAAGGTTCACATACAATTGTAAAAAAATCCTCGTTTTCCAAGAGTATATATCTAAAAATTTTGAAGAATACTCAGTAGCAAAATGTAAAATATGCAAATGTGTATACATTAATATTATATATTTACAGCTTATTCGTTCTTTGTCTCTGCATTTTTATCATCCATCGTTCGATTTACTACTATGTGAACGTACCAAATAATTACAATGCAAAGGAAAATTAAAACAAATTTGGCATTTGCTTTCACACAAGTTGTATTTTATTTCTTCATTTACTGAGCACCGTGTAAAAACTTAGCATTGTATCTAGAAAAAATGTTTTAATCGCATAACTTAATAGATATACCGCCAAATACAGCGAATAAATTACAAAATCCAAAGAAATTCACTCTAGTGTTTTTATACACACATAGGATACAGAAGTGTCAATAACTTATGAAGTTATTATATCACGAATATCACAAGCTATACTAATCTATAAACATAGTTATATCGGTTAACGTTAATAATTGCTAAATAAGTTGAACAACAAAGGAACTATGTAATATACACACATAGGATACAGAAGTGTCAATAACTTATGAAGTTATTATATCACGAATATCACAAGCTATACTAATCTATAAACATAGTTATATCGGTTAACGTTAATAATTGCTAAATAAGTTGAACAACAAAGGAACTATGTATTTTAATGATCAAACAATGGTCCAGAGGCGTTGCTATGTGTT